TTCAAATTACTTTGTGACAAAGCTGGCATAGAACATCAGCTAACAGTCCCTTATACTCCACAACAAAATGGAATTAACGAGCAGAAAAACAGAACTATAATGGGTGCATGCTACATAAGAAACATATACCAAAAAGGTTCTGGGCGGAGGTTGCCAGCACTGTTGCTTTTTTGCAAAGCAGAGTTCCTTCTAGATCTGTAAAGGATAAAACACCATATGAAGCATGGTATGGTCATAAACCCTCATTGCAATTTCTCAGAATTTTCGGCTACTTGTGTTTCGCTTATATACCACAGGTTAAAAGAGATAAGCTTGATAAGAAGGCAGTTCCTGGAATCGTTATAGGCTACAATTTTTTCTCCAAAGCATATAAGGTCTATGAACCTCAAACGGAGATAATTGTCGTAAGTTGAGATGTCCACTTCATTGAGGACCAACAGTGGAATTGGGAGAAGCCCGAAAACAATCCACCAGTTGACAATTTATTAGATCCAAAAGATCTAGTAGATGATCCTCCTGTTAGAGGCATGCGGTTGATCTCTAATATCTATCGGAGATACAATACTGCAATTTGTGAGCCCGCAAGCTATGAGGAAGCAGAGGGGATGACAAATGGGTGGCAACAATGAAGGAGGAGATGATGATGATCGGAAAAATCAAATCTAGGTGCTTGTTGAGAAACCTCTAGACAGAAAGATCATTGGTGTAAAATGGGTCTTCAGGACAAAGCTAAATGCTAATGGCTCCATCAACAAACACAAAGCGATGCTTGTAGTGAAAGGTTACGGTAAGATCTTTGGAGTAGACTACTCAGAACTTTCACACCAGTTGCTCGACTTGACACAATCAGATTGCTACTAGCCATTGCAGCGGAAAAAGGTTGGAAAGTTTATCAACTTGATGTTAAGTCGGCCTTTCTCAATGGTCTTCTACAGGAGGGGATTTATGTTGAGCAACCAAATGGTTTTGTTGTCAAGGGGCAAGAAAATAAGGTTTGTTTGCTAAAGAAATCTCTCTATGGTTTAAAGCAAGCACCAAGAGCTTGGTATAGCAAGATTGATGATCATTTGCTAAGTTTAGGCTTCAAGAAGAGTCTATCTGAGTCTACACTTTATATTAAGTATTCAGGTGCAGACATACTGATTATTTCTTTGTATGTTGGCGATCGCTTTGTCACAGGAAGTAAGGTTTTCCTAATTGAGGACTTCAAGTTGGAAATTATGAAGGTCTTTGAAATAACAGACCTTGGACTGATGGTGTACTTTCTTGGAGTGGAGATTAAACAAAATGAAGACAATGTGTTCATTTGCCAGAGAAAATATGCTCAAGAAATCCTAAAGAAGTTTCATATGGAAGACTGCAAAGTTATGAGTACTCCAATGAACCAAAAGGAAAAGTTTTCCAAAGATGATGTAACAGAAAAGGTAGATGAGGCATATTATAGAAGTCTTATTGGCTGCTTGATGTATTTGACTGCAACTAGGCCTAATATTCTATATGCAGTGAGTTTTTGTCTCGGTTCATGCATTGTGCAAGTGATTTACACTTTAGAGAAGCTAAAAGAATTGTCAGATACATCAAGGGAACTATCAACTATGGTGTTAAGTTTCACAAAAGTCAGAAGTTTAGACTTAACGGATTCTCCGATAGTGATTGGGGTGGTGCACCTGATATGAAGAGTACTTCAGTTCTTTTTCTTTTGTGTCTGCCATTGGTCTTCTTGCATTTTTTGTTGATTCTGGTGAGTTCTTGATGGCTGTTCTTTGGTACCTGAAACACTAGCAGAAATATTATTTTTAACAGGTTGAGAATTAATTGGTAGAGTAACTACCTGAGTGTCATTTCATTGTGTTGTTTTGGTTTTGTTTTTGTTTGCTGCTTCAGCCTCCTTTCTTCTTCTATATTCATCATCTCTCCTCTTGACTTTACATGTATGAACTTTATGGCCTTGGTGTTTGCAGTAATCACTATCTTGACTTGTTGGAGCCTGTGGAAAAATAGATGTGCATGCAAATATGGTGGAAACAAATCTACTATGACTAGAGCGATATACTTGGTGCATAAAGACATCAACTTTCCTTACATCAGATGGCCATCCAAGTGGAGATTATCAAACCAAATGAAAAATCGCATGTTCTATCTCAAAAACAGGACAACTCGCTTTGAGATAATGGAGAAGGGGAAATAAATCCTACACTGTCGGCTCTATCTCCAAACAGAAATCCTAACGACTCTATTGAAACAACTGAGAGATCGCAAAGGAAGTATTCTCAGAGAATTAACTCTCAATCAGTCGAAGTGCAAATTCAAAGTCGAGTTGATAATGAGGAACTTCGAAGGGACTCAACTATTGGGGAATCTTCCCTACAGTTACATGAGCACCTCACTGCAATGTCGAGTGAGTTGGACGTAGGTATTGGCCGGAGAAATTCAAAGGAACTAGCCGGAGCTCCAGCGAACATTGAAACTCACAGTTCCTCACCTCTCACACTCCAAGGAACATGCAACAAACTCATACAAAGGCATTCCAATTCTCCTGCACACCAAGTGTTTGATGAAAAAACAAACTTGGAAGGAGATGGTCCAGTCGTGAATCAAGAACACGCATTGAGCTTGAGCAGCCAGACTCAGACAAGCAAGCAGTCAAAGGACCACAATACTCTAAATCATTTAGAAAAGAACAACAGTTCTAATTTCTCGTTTGATGCTAAACACTAATGCCCAGGTTCTCACTCCAAGCTTTGTTCGACAGGGACAAATTAAGGGGAAATTGCAAGGTGGAACCAACAAAGTCTGGATAGCTAAAGACATCTCTTTTGACAAACAAAAAGAAGGAGAGGAAAGGCCAAGAACTCAATTACAAGCAGAGGATCAAAATCCAGGTAAGACAACAAAAAACAATTCCATTAATTATGTTGGAACTAATCACGAGTCCAATTTGCATTCTAATGCAAATGGACACAATAGCATTGCTGGAGAACCTTTGTTGCAGGAAAATGAGCACATACAAGATAAGGTCGATCGCAACAAAGATTCCAACAACAAAAGCAAACAACAAGTTGGAAATGGAAGTAATCAACAACCTGCAGAGAAGGTTACCTATGCCAATGCCAATCAATTCCCTAGAGTATCCAATAACTTTGCAAAGCAGGTTCCCTACCATCAAAGAAACAAACCAGATGTGAGGCAGCCATCAATGTACAAGGAACAGCCTTCTCAGAACCCTCAGCACAATTCAAAGAATGAGAATACACCTGAACCTGCTCCCTATACTGTGGTACAAACATTGACAGCTCGATTAAGGCAAAATCAGTCCAAATATGACACTCCCTTAGATGATTTCTTGGTCAAGCTGGCTGAAAGGTGGAAGTATACTTTAGTGGGTAAATTTAGTAATACTATGCCTAAAGTGGAGTTGATTCAAAAAAATTTCATTCTTCAAACTCAACTGTCCGGAGGGGTTAAAATAGCACATTTTAACTCTCGACATGTGTACATTACTTAGATAATGAATTGGATTATATCACTCTGGACAAAGCAGAAAATGACCATTGAAGGTCAATTGATGAGGATCCAAACCTGGACACCAAATTTTAAGCCGGAAGAGGAAACTCCAATTGTGCCTATATGGGTTTCATTGCCTGAACTACCATGGCATTGCTACAACAAGGAATTTCTAACTGTCTTAATGCACCCTATAGGCAAAGTACTATATCTTGATACAGCCTCCATTCAAAAAACTAGAGGGAGCGTTGCCAAAATCAAAGTCCAAATTGATCTCACAAAGGAGAGACCTGGACATGTTTGGATGGGCTTTAATAAGCATGATCTTACTATTGGAAGGTGGCAAGCTATATAGTATGAAAGTGTTCCGGATTACTGTATGTATTGCAAGCATCAAGGACACTTGGTACATGTATGCACAGTCAAAAGAAGAGATGATGAATACCAAAAGAGAAAGGAGCAAGAAGCTGAAAAAAGGAATAAAAACAATCCTGATCAGGCAAAAATGGAACAGAAAAAAGAGCAGCAGCCTGAGCACAAGGAAAAAGGGGACAGCAATCCTAATATCAATCAACAACTTACCAATGCATTGGAGGACAAGCAATAGGAGGAAGGAGGGCAAACACAAAGGAAAAAGAACAACAACAACAGAGCAAATAATCAGGACAGATCTCAAACTGTTGGAGATAAACAAGCTCAAGACAGACTCCACCAAGACACCAGACAATCAGGTATGAACAATGTTATTAATACTCACAACACTTACATTGACCTTGTTGATCAGGTTCAATCCAGCAGCCAAGAATGAAGGAATACAGCAGGTACAACAACAGGATATTCCGGAGCACCAAACTAATAAAAATAATACTGTTGAGATTCCTGCACCAGTATCCCAAATACCTTATAATAATAATGCTAGCAAAAAAGATCAAGAAAAAACAAACATGATCTTGAAGACCACAGGTATTGACTCACTACTCCCCACCCCTCAGAATCCCTGTATTACTTGTGATTGTGTTGTTGATGAAGTCTAAGGAGGTATGGATGGGGTTGTAAGGAGAAACACTCTAACTTGCAGGAAGGGGTTTCCAAAGGGGGGAATTTGACTCATGTTCTGCAACCACTAGACATATGCATTCAAACCACCAGAATAAAAAACAAGAGCAACAGCAGGGTATGAAACAGCCTGAGAAATCACAGAAAAATCTGCCGAATGTTGACACTGGACAGGTTCAGGATAATTCAGATCTGCAAAGTATGAGTAAAGAAGGGGTTGAGGTTTCAGATAAACAGGGCCAGCAGTTGTCCAGAGAAAAAACAGATCAGAGGAAAGGCACCAATACTCCTTTACAAAATGCTAAAAGTAAAGGGGTTCAAAAAGATAATACAGACCAGCAGCAGCAGGGGGGGAGTGATACTCTTATGAAACCTCCAACAATAAATCCGGAGGTAAATTAAGCAAGAAGAAAAGGGACGCAATCAAAAGAAAACAACAAATGGAAACTGTAAAGCAAAGGCTCAATGGGGAAACCATTCAACAACAACAGCAGTATCAAGATGACTATGGGGTCTTGAATTCAGAAGATGAGTTTGATCAAGATACACAATCTATGGAGGAAAATGAAGAAGAGGAAGAGGAAACAACAGCTCACTTAATTAAAGCTTTTGGTTCCACCTTTCACAGTGAATATCAGGAGGAAATCCAAGAAGCCACTAATCAGCAGGGTTTATCTCCTAGGGGTAGATCACAAGGGAAGCAAAGCAAACAGGCTCTCACCAGCACATCTGCTACCTTAGGCAGACCAAACACTAGGTCCAGAAGTAGAGGCCTCTAATGATTAAAGCTCTATTGGAATGCTAGGAGTATTAACACCCAAGGATCTTTGGAAAGATTGCAAAATCTCAAGAAAATGCACAACTTATCTTTGATTGCTATTTTGGAACCATTTCTCTTGATAATTGATCTTCTCAACAACTACAGAATCCAGTTGAATATGGACAAGGCTATCTCAAGAAAATGCACAACTTATCTTTGATTGCTATTTTGGAACCATTCTCTGATAATGATCTTCTCAACAACTACAGAATCCAGTTGAATATGGACAAGGCTACCTGCAAACCAAATGGAAAAATTTGGTTATTGTGGAATGTTGAAACTGATGAGCAACATATCACTTGTACTTTTACTCTTGTAGAATGCAAAAATGAGTTTATGATGTCCTTTATCTATGCTAAATGCAAAGATCAGCTAAGGAGGCCCCTTTGGGACAGGCCGATTCATTATTCTAACAGGAACATTCCCTGGTGCACCATTGGTGACTTCATTCAATGTGATTACATCTACTGAAGAAAAACAAGGTGGAGTTCCATACAACATGAATAAAAGTTTTGAATTTCTCAGTGTTATAGAAGATTGTGGCTTATTGGATCTTGGTTACAATGGGAGTCACTTTACCTGGTGCAACCAAAGAACTGAGGAAGCAAGGGTGTGGAAAAGACTCGATAGGGCCATGGTTAATGATCAGTGGCTAGAAAACATGCCTCAATCCACTATATCTCATCTTCCCTTTGTAGGATCCGATCACTGCCCCCTTCTCTTGGAAATGGCTGTGAGAATGAATCAGAATACCAAGTACTTGAAGTTCCTTCATTTCTGGACAGAGCACAGTAATTTTTTACACATTGTTAAGGCCTGCTGTGACAGAGAATCTAATGGAAATCCTATGGGGAAGCTGCATCAGAAAATGAAAAGGTTGTCCACAACTCTTAGCAATTGGTCCAAGCAAGAATTTGGGGATATATTTAGCACTGTTAAAAGCTATGAAGATAGGGTCAGAATTGCTGAAGAGGAAATGCTGCAAAACAACTCACAGGCCAGCAGAGCTAAACTTCATCAACTCAATGTTGATTATATCAAATACCTCAAGTTGGAATCCTCTATACTCAAGCAAAAAACTCAACTCCACTGGTTTAGAGAAGGAGATGCTAACTCTAAATATTTTCATGTTGTGATGAGAGGAAGAAGGAAAAAATTGTTCATTCACAAAATTTGTACTGACAATAAGGAATGGGTTCAGGGTGATGACAACATTGCTAAAACTGCTTGTACACACTTTCAACATATCTTTTCTGGTCATGAGAATAGAATTGTTGAAGGTATTTTACAATGTATTCCAAGAATGATCACACCTGAGCAAAATCAAAAACTTCAAGGCATGCCTACAATGGAGGAGCTACAGCAGGTAGTCTATTCTATGAATCTTAATTCAGCTCCAGGTCCGGATGGTTTTGGTGGAAAACTTTACCAAGTATGCTGGGACATCATTAAACATGATATTCTTGAGGCTGTGAAGTCCTTCTTTTGTGGTTCCATCATGCCTAAATTCATGTCACATGCTTGTTTGGTCCTTCTTCCTAAAGTTGAGCATCCTAACAAGTTCAATGAATTTAGACCTATCAGCTTAAGTAACTTCACAAACAAGATCATCTCCAAGCTCCTATGCCTCAGACTGGCTCCAATACTTCCTCTTCTTATTTCGGAAAATCAATCAGGGTTTGTTAGAGGAAGGAGCATTTCTGAAAATATCATGTTGGCTCAGGAAATTAATCATGGCATTAAAAAGGCTAATGAAGGAGACAATGTTGTGATCAAGTTTGATATGGCAAAAGCTTATGACAGGGTTTCGTGGTCTTTCACTTGCTTAGTTCCGAGGAAAATGGGATTTGGGGAAACCTTCATTGATCTTGTATGGAGAGTTATGAGCAATAATTGGTACTCGGTTATTATTAATGGTACAAGGCATGGGTTCTATCACTCCACCAGAGGTCTCAAGCAAGGAGATCTGTTATCACCTGCCCTATTTATTTTAGGTGCAGAGTTCTTTCGAGAAGACTTAATCTCCTTTATCAAAATCCGGGTTACAAAGGTTTCCAAATGGAGATTAGGGGACCAGAAATTAATCACTTGAGCTTTGAGGATGATATAATTATTTTTACTTCTACCACCAGGAGTTCTCTGCAGTTTATTATGGAGACTTTGAATACCTATGAAGAGGTCTCAGATCAGCTCATAAACAAGGCAAAAAGTCATTTCATGGCCCCTACAAACACCCCTTCTGATGTCATTCTACTGATTGAGGAAATTACTGGTTTTTCACAGAAATCCAGTCCTATCACTTACCTGGGGTGCCCTTTATATATTGGAAGGCAAAGAATTATATACTATTCTGAGCTTGTGGCAAAAGTGGTTAAAAAAATCAGCGATTGGCAATCCAGAATTCTCAGTTTTGGAGGCAAGGCTACCCTCATTAAACATGTTCTACAATCAATCCCCATTCACACCATGGCTGCAATATCCCCTCCTAAAACAACCATCAGGTATATTAAGAGGGTTACTGCTGACTTTTTCTGGGGATGGGATAACGAGAAGAGAAAATATCACTGGGCTTCCTGGGAGAATCTTAGTTTTCCTTACGAAGAAGGAGACATTGGAGTCAGACAACTTGAAGATGTATGCACCTCCATGCAATTCAAACAATGGTGGACCTTTAGGAGTAAGAACACTCTGTGGGGGGACTTTTTGAGGGACAAATATTGTCAAAGAGCCCATCCAGTTGGCAAGAAGCTGGATACAGGTCAGTCTTTGGTTTGGAATTACATGATGAAGAATAAAAGCATTATGGAACCCCAAATCACTTGGAGAATTAACTCAGGAACTTGTTCCTTCTGGTGGGATGACTGGACAGGGGAAGGTCCACTGGCATACCAATGTTCTGAGATCAACAGCCTAAACAATACCACAGTTGCTCATTTTCTGCTTGAAGGTAAATGGAATGAGACCCTTGTGAGACAAAGTGTTCCCCCTCTTCTTGTACCAAAAGTTTTGAGCTTCCAATTCCATTACCTGGCAGAAACTGTTGATGTACCAGTTTGGAAGCCTACTGAAAATGGGCTGTTCTCATGTGCTTCAGCTTGGGAATTCGTCAGAAGGAAAAGGGAGAAAAATCAATTTAATGCTAAAATTTGGCACAAGAATGTTTCTTTCAAAATTCCCTTTCTCACCTGGAGGGCCTTGAGATTTAAACTCCCAGCCAATGACAAACTCATATCTTTTGGCAAGGATCCAGCCGACTGTTACTGCTGTCACAGACCAGGCCTGGACAGCATTGATCATATTTTCATGTCTGGTCAAGTTGCCAGTTATAATTGGAGGTTCTTTTCTGCTGCCTTTGGTATCTTTCACAACCATTCTTCTGTGAAAAATCTGTTGATCAACTGGTGGGGGATGGAAGCTAAGAATGAGGTGAAAAAGCTGTTAATTCAATCTCTTCCTCTATTCATCTATTGGAACTTATGGAAAATAGGTGTGCAGTCAAGTATGGGGGCAAACATTCCAACACCTCCAGAGTTATCTTCCTGATTATCAAAGACACTGCCCAGTTCTTATATACTGCTTTCCCCTATATTCATTGGCCTTATAACTGGCATGCAATTTTTAGTAAGATTGAAAACTGCAAGCATGAGATGAAGATCAGGGAAGTTAAATGGGAAAGGCCTCCGGACAGCATCTACAAATTAAACACTGATGGAAGTGCGCTTAATAACCCTGGCAAAATTGGTGGAGGAGGTATATTGAGAGATCATCAAGGTCAAATGGTGTATGCTTTCACCATAGCCCTTGGTATGGGCACCAACAACATGGCAGAAACTCAAGCTGCTGCACATGGACTGTATTGGTGTCTTCAACATGGTTTTAAGAACGTTATTTTAGAGGTTGATTCTGAGTTGCTCGCCAAATGGATTACTCACATCATCAAACCACCTTGGAGGATACAACACCAGGTTCAGGAGTTAAATCAAGCTTACCAACCAGTTAGAGTTTTTTCAATGCAAACACATATACAGAGAAGCAAACAGCACTGCAGATTTCCTGGCCAAGCTCAGTCATAAGTCTGACATAATCCATCATTTCTACATTCAATCCCAACTGCCCACTGTTGCTAGAGGCTGCTATCTTCTTGAAAAAATGGGAATGGCAAATTTTAGGAGGAAGAAATTGAAGAGAATCAAGAAAACACCATGACTGGACACTATTTTATACATAGATGTCTCTATAGAATCTTCTTCCCCCCCCCCTTCAACTTGGCTATGTGCATTTGGTTCATAGCCCCTTTGAATAGGTTAGGTGTTTATTTCTTTTCTTACTATTGTAAGGGGAGAGTCTCCCTTGTCTATGTTTCCTAGATTCTCTGTATCGAGAGGAGTCCTCTCGTTTAGGTGCATTTTATTAGGTTTCACTTTATAGTATGGGGATGAGTTGACTATCCTTAGTAGGAAAGTCGACTCATGAACCAACATAGGATCGAAGGTAAGGTTTGCGTCCCCCTCCTTGTATTATGTTGTTTTGCTTATATATGTTAAGGCCTAGGGCTGTTGCTAAGGCCCTGACCCCCCCAAGGGTCGTTAAACAAAAAAAAAGAAAAAAATCTCTAAACCCTAAACTGTAGGACCTAAAATCTTAACTGTAATCTCTAAACCCTAAACCTTAGGACCAAAACCCTAAAGCCTAAAACCTAACACTAAACTCTAAATCCTAAGCCTTAGTGCATAAACTCTAAACCTTAGGGCCTTAACCCTAAACGCTAAACTCAAGACCTAAAGTCTAAACCATAAATCTTAAACCCTAAACCCTAAACCCTAAATCCTAAACCTTAAGGTTTAAACCCTGAATCTTATAGCATAAACCCTAAACCTTAAGGTTTAAACCCTGAACCTTATACTTTAGGGAATAAACCCTAAACTTTAACCCCTAAACCCTAAACCTTAGAGCCTAAACCTTAAATCCTAAACCATAAACCCTAAACTCTAAAACTTTGGGCTTAAACCCTAAATCCTAAATGCTAAACCTTAGGGCATAAACCCTTAACCATAAATCATAAACCCTAAACCTTAGGGCTTAAACCTAAACCTAACCTTAAACCCTTAACCTTAGGGCCTAAACCCCAAATCCTAAACCCTACACCTTAAGGCATAAACCCTAAACCCAAAACCATTGGGCCAAACCCTAAATCTTATGGCCTAAACCCTAAACACTAAACTCTAAACCTTATGGTCTAGACCCTAAAATTGAAACCCTAAATCCTAAAATCTAAACCTTAGGCCCTATATCATAAACTCTAAACCCTAAACCTTAGGTCCTTAACCCTAAACATTCGGGCCTAAACCCTAAACCTAAATCCTAAGCCCTAAGCCCTGAACCTTAGTGCCTAAACCCTAATTAAGCTTCTTCTTGATCATTCACAGGTAGCATATCTTTATCCAATTCATCTTCATAGTGAACCACTTTTTGCTCTTCCAGAGGATCATGGGCATTATCAGTAATCTCAGGGATTGTGTTGATGGTGCATTTTTCCTTTGAACTAGCTAGTCTTCTTCATTTTTTTTTCTGGGCTAAATATTGCTGTTTTTCCTTCTTTTTTTCCTCCTCAAGAGCTAATTTTTCCTATCTTCTTCTATAAGCTTCTCGTTTCTTATAACTCATCTGCTCTGAAGCTTTATTATTTAGCCATTGTTTTTCAATGGTGTTTCTATATGAGTCCCTTCACCCACCTCATCAGACTGATGTAAAACAACATTAGAGTTCTCTTTATTTTGTTGACCTTCCTACGTAACATTCTGTTGCTGCTGCACCTGACTCATGGTCTGAGTTGCTGCCTGAAAATGACCCCTTGAATCAGCTTCTTTATACACAGGATTCTCTTTTTCTTGTTGAACTAGAGCATTAACCTCAACCCTGCCTGAGTTCACCTTACCCTCATCATCACTGTGACCCAATTCAGACCCCTCCATAGACTCATAATCTAGAGAATCTTCAGCATCAGGGTCTATATCTTCAATCAAAATTGGACTCAGATTCTGAGTGTCATTCTGTGTAGTCATGTTGATCCTGTTGTTGATGTTACCTTGTATCATAGGAGCTTCATAAGTTGTGGTAGCAGGAGCTCTAAGGTCAATCCTAGAGTCATCCATATTAGAACTACCACCCCCCTTTGATTCCCCTTTCTGAAAGTTAGTGATTTTCTCCTGCATACCCCCTTTCACACCTCCAGACTTCTCAGATCCAGATAAAACAACACAATTATTAATGGGGTGGGGTTGATGGAGAATTGAGTTATTACCTTGCTTATTGTTGGCATCCTAGCTTTGCTTGTTATGAAATACTTTTGGGGCAACACTGGGAATGGGGACAGCAACACTGCCATGGGGTTGAGGGGTTGGAAGCATTGAGTCAATACCTTGCTTATTGTTGGCATCCTTGATTTGATAGTCCTGATAAACATTAGGGGCAACATTGGGGTGGGGATTGGAACACTACTATCGGGTTGAGGGGTGGGGAGCATTGAGTCAATACCTTTTTGTTGTTCCTGACTGGTCTGATTCTGATGTGGTACTGGTTTATAACCTGACTTTGTTTGGTTTTTGGTTGATTCCTCTGATTGTTTAAGGATAGCCTCTAAATTTCTTTTTATGTCTGCCATTGGTCTTCTTGCATTTTTTGTTGATACTGATGAGTTCTTGCTAGCTATTCTTTGGTACCTGAAACACTAACAGAAATATTATTCTTAACAGACTGAGATTTAATTAGTAGAGTAATTACCTGAGTGTCATTTGCTTGTGTTGTTTTTGTTTTGTTCTTGTTTGCTGCTTCCACCTCCTCTCTTCTTCTATATTCATTATCTCTCCTCTTGACATTACATGTATGAACCTTATGGCTTATGGCCTTGGTGTTTGCAGTAATCACTATCTTTACTTGTTGGAACCTGTGGAAAAATAGATAGGCATGCAAATATGGAGGAAACAAATCTAATATAAATAGAGTGATATACTTGGTGCTTAAAGACATCAACAACCTCCTACTCATCAACTTTCCTTACATAAAATGGCCATCCAAGTGGCCTAAGTTGATACAGTTTGGAGGAAATTTCTTCCATGATATCAAAATTACTAAGGTAAGTTGGTTTGAGCATGTGGTTAAAATCAACTCTGATGGTAGTGCTTAGACAACCCAGGAAAGATGGGGGGTGGTGGTATTGTTAGAGATGCCCAAGGTGATTTAATCTATGCTTATGCTACTCCACTAGGCCATGGTACCAACAACCAAGCAGAGATTGAAGCTGCTCAATGGGATCTATCTTGGTGTCTAAATAATGGTTTCAACCAGGTGATTTTGGAAGTAGACTCTGAGTTAGTGGTTTACTAGATAAAACAGCAAGCTGCTCCACCTTAGAATTTGCAGCATGCTGTAGCTAACCTTGATCCGACAAGAGTGAGATGCCAAATTTTAGAAAAACTCAAATTCTCTAGAATACCTTGAAACCTGGCCTAAGATCATTTTTAGTACTCCCTTTGTTTCAATTTGTTGGTCTTACCTTCCTTTTTAGGCTTTTTAAAAAAGAATGCCTCTTTCCTAATTTGAAAACTCCTTAATTTCATTATCCCGCATGGAATGTTTGTGACCAGAAAATCAAAGAACATTTCGGTACAGTATACAGTTTTAGTTTTAAGACTACAAAATTCAAAAGTACTCTGTACTTTCTTAAACTTTGTGTCAATTCAAACAAAGATAAACAAATTGAAACTGAGGGAGTAACAACCTTTGATCATTTTTAGTATCTACTATACATGCAAGATTACGATATTCCATTACCAGCAAGAAGACACATTCAAACATGCAGTTGCACTGACTAAAAACAGTAAATTCAGGCATCTCTCTCTCTCTCACTCACACACACACTATCAGATAAAAAAAGGAGCTTACTTTTGTAATGTTGATAGAAGTAGATTTAGACTCCTCATTGAGCACAATGTGAATGAGGAAGAAAGTGTATATTTGGAAAGCATTTCGATATGATGCAACTCGATCAGCAAGCGAACACTCATCCTCCTCACTGTCATTCTTCTCTTCATCAGCATTTCCATCCTTCTGCTGAGACACCCTCCAGAGAGAATCCATAGTAGGGAGCAGAACACTGAGATTGGACCTAAGTGACTCCACAAGATTGAGCTTACAGCCAGGAGTAAGGCAAGGAAACTCCTTCATTAACGAATACACAAGATCGAACACATCCTGCTCCTCCACGCAGAATAGCTCTTTGTCAGATAAGTCAAAGGAGACACATGTTTAATTGCAAAACAAAAAACAACAAATTTACAGAAATGAGTTGGAAAAATAAAAAAAGAATGACAACCCAGATGGAAAATTCAAAAAGAAAACAACAAAAAAGAGAACCCAGATGGAAAAATGGCAAGGAATGTGAACCAAGTAGGAAAATCGAAAAAAAGAAAGAGAACCCACATGGAGAATTTCAAAAGAGAAGGCAGATTCGAGGAGAATGAAGTTCTAAATTGCCTAAAGCTATGTGCAGCCGATAAGGCTCCTGGTCCAGATGGGTACACAATGGGTTTCTTCATCAAGTGTTGGGATGTACTGAAGAAAGACATCATGGACACATTTCAAAACTTTTATGAGCAAGAAGTCTTCGAGAAGAGTTTCAACGCTACCTTCATTGCACTCATTCCAAAGAAAAAAGGAGCCAACGAGTTAAGGGACTACAGACCAATTAGCCTCATAGGGAGCATTTACAAAATACTCTCCAAAGTTCTCACAGAAAGGTTGAAAGTTGTGATAGACAAACTGGTGGACTCACAGCAAATGGCTTTTATAAAAGGGAGACAAATTATGGATGCAGTGTTGATTGCTAATGAAGCTGTAGATTCCAGGAATAAGCAGAAGAAACCTGGTATTCTATGCAAGCTGGACATAGAAAAAGCATATGATCATGTGAATTGGAAGTACCTTCTGAAGATTTTAGAGATGATGGGATTTGGACAAAAATGGTTGAACTGGATTAGCTTCTGCATTTCTACAGTTAGCTTCTCTGTTCTGATTAATGGGTCCCTGCAGGTTTTTTTCAAACTCAAAGAGGACTCAGGCAGGGTGATCCATTGTCCCCTTTCTTGTTCTTAATTACTATGGAGGGGCTGAATAATATGCTCAAGACAGCAAATATGAGAGGATGGGTAAAAGGTTTTGATGTGGCTAGAGAAAATACAGAAAGCTTGGAAGTGACACGTCTTCAGTATGCAGATGATACACTTGATTTTTTGTGGAGCTGAGGAATACCAACTGAAATACTTAAGGGTGATCCTGGTGCTGTTTGAAGGGGTATCCGGGTTACACATTAACTGGATAAAAAGTTCTATGTATACTATCAATGAGGTCAACAACATAGACTTGTTAGCTTCAATCCTAGGGGATAAAGTAGGTACTCTACCTACAACATATTTGGGTATGCCATTGGGAGCAAAATCCAAGTCCTTAGAAATTTGGAATGGTGTGATAGAGAAGTGTGAGAAGACGCTGGCCAGATGGAAAACTCAGTACTTGTCAAGAGGGGGAAGACTGGACCCCTCATTAACTCAGTCATAGATGCTCTCCCAACTTACATGTTGTCTCTATTTCCCATCCCACCAGGGATAACTAAAAGACTAGACAGCATAAGAAGGAAGTTCTAGTGGCAAGGAAACAAAGAGAATAGAGGCCTTCATCTAGTTAAATTGAATGCAGAGACAGTTGAAAAGAAGAATGGTGGTCTGGGAATAAAGAATATGGAGCTACATGGCAAAGCACTCTTAATGAAGTGCTTGTGGAAATACTCAAATGAAAACCAAACACTTTGGAGAAGAGTGATAGGTGCCAAATATGAGAATGAAGATAGTTGGATGACTAAGATTGTGACCACACTTTATGGGACCAGTTTATGGAGATCCATAAGAGCCTTATGGGAGGAAGTTAAACCCAAATTCAAGATGAAAGTGGGGAATGGGAACAAGATCAAATTCTGGAAGGATGAATGGCATGAGAAAGGTAACTTGGAAACTCTTTTCCCTGATATTTACAATCTGGCAATGTTCCAACAAAGAACTATTGCAGAACTATGGACACCACAAGGGTGGAATTTCATCTTCAGGAGATAACCAAATGACTGGGAAGTGATGAGTTTGGCAGAATTCCTCAACATGGTTGGACACTTTACTGGACTTCATGCATATGAGGATATGCTTTGGTGGAAAGGCAACAATAGAGGAGAGTTCAAAGTGTCTAGAGTGCATTTGTATATAAGGTTTGAGTACAACTCATGTACTTTTGTGATATAATACAACGTTACCATTTTACAAAAAGAATTTCAAAAGAGATTGAAAATTTGGTCTTGGGAGTTTCGGTAAGGTGAAAACCCAAGATGGGAAATACATACGATGAATTCTTCCAATTCAGAAGGACGAAGAGCACTAACTAAAGTGGGATTTTGAATTGAGGGGTGACTGCAATCTGAGTCTTCCTCTTCAAGAGGGCCTAAACATTTTTGGAAATATGAAAGATTGAGCCATTTAAGAGTAAGGTTTGAAGATTTCTATAGCGTAAAATGGTGGGAATTTCCTGATCTGATTTTGAATAAGCATAAAGCGATAAAGAAGGGAGGCGGGGTGGGGGTGGGGAGTAAAGTTTGAAATGGGAAATGTGGGTTTCTTTAAGCGCATTAACGAAGGGTACTTTCCCTGCCAGAAATTGCATTTTCAGCTCTTGACATCTTTTTGCCTCAAGTTCACTTGGTTTCTTCAAATATCTCCTAAATCAACTCTCCATTTCATTTTCCTGTAAATATGGAAAAAAAAACACATTAAAAGCACAAATTCTAAACTTAAGTAAGCCAAAATAACTACAAAAAGTGCCTCAAATGAGTGGAAATCCACCACTCATCGACACCACCGACTTAAAAACTTTGTTTGTCCTCAAGTAAAGAAAATCAAAAACACAAGAGGCTCTTATTTCAAAACACACCACAACTCAATTTCCCTTTCTCAATCAAGCACAAAGGTAATGACTTCGGTTGGTACTAACAAATAGTCCTCAGAAAAGAAATCCTCTCATTCTCATGAAACATTTTCAAAAACCAAGAATCATTTAAGTGATGGTACTAGCAAATATTCCACATGCAAACTTTTCACAAAAGAAATCCTCTAATTCTCATGGAACATTTTCAAAAAACAAGAATCATTTAAGTGACAACAACTCAAACCCAAGAAATGACTCAACTCAGTAACTCTTTCACATGCTCCCTTGATTCAATTAGGAATTTTCAAAATCACCACTTTTTCAACTTACATGCCCTCACAAGAAAGAAGTGTCCCAAAACCACACACACATATAAACAAGACAAGGGACAAAGATGCAACACTCACACTCACAAAGAATCATCTCATGCACACAAATGTCACACCATAGGCTTGCCCATATTTTCCATCAACATTGACTCAACTCCATTTGCTTAGAAATCTCAAAGGACTTTGTTAAGCTTGTAATGTAGGCATAGGGAAGGTTAGGATATCATTAAGGTATAAGTGACTACACCCTCCTTGAACACTACACAACTCATCATTTCCAACTTTCTCCACTTCTCTTCACCATGCACATTCCACACTACTTTTAATTTTTCTTTTCTTATTTCCACTCTAGATGCCCCACATGCAACCATTTTCAACTTTTGGAGAATTCAAGCCTCATTTATTCATTTTCTTTCTTTCTTTCTTTTTCAAAGTTTTTTCTTTCTTTATGATTTCCCATCCATTCTTCAATTTCTCTCCTTTTTTTTTTCTTTTTTTTTATATCAAACCATCATTTCGTAAGCATCCCTTCAATGAATTTCCGATAACACCCCAACTTAGGCTTTTAGCCTCAACTTTCAGAACCTCAAGTTCAAGGAGGGAAGGGTTCAAAAGAGGGTTACTTTTTCAAAAAGGATAAGGCTTGTAATGTGGTTGCCAATAAAAAGGATTAGGCTCAAAGGGGACAAACTAAGGGAATATATTTAGTACAAAGGTGGGATTTTTAGGCCATGTGGACTTCAAGAACATCAAAGAAAGCCTAAGATCATTTCTCAAACCAAACTCAATCAAGACCAACATTTCAAGACCAACCGGGCAAGTTCTAGGTGACAAAAGCAAACCCAAGGCATTATTCAACAACTCACCACACATGGCCTGCAAATCAATCAAGATGGTTCAAAATCTTACTTCCTTTTAAAAATACAAATAGTATTGAACATTTTAACTGGTAACGAATCAAAAGTCACAAAAAGAGTGGTAAGAGTTGTCACAAAATCATTCATAACATGATCAACCTTTTAAAAATTGAGAGGTATGCTCAACGCTATTCACATGAATGACTATGCTCTTAGTACCAACCAAGTCAAAACCTTCCCAAAAATATGATGATGTTGCTCTTAAGAAAGTCGTCAACCAATCCATTATCAGGCAACCTCATGCATCTATTCGGGAACAGCTACTCAGAATTTGCCACAATCAACGCCAATCAAACACTCACAAGCAATCGACAATTTACACTTAAGAAAGTCAACACTCTCTATCCATTATCGGGCATCGTCAATCTAAATCTTATTATCAAAACAAAAACAAAGAAGCTACAACCTACAAATCAAAAACTAAAATAGACCAATCCAACACAATATCAACAAAAACATCCACAATATCAAATCCCGACAAGGGCACACCAATCCATAACAAAGAAAGTAAAGTATGCCCGACAAGGGCACAATCATTGTATGCAAAAACAATCAACTAAATGACTACAAGGGAGGCACCCCCAACTGAAAATGAGATTGTGTCCTCACAGTCAAAATATTAAAAGAGAATACGAGGGACTCCCTGAACTGCATCACTCTCAGCTGGAGCCGGTAGGAAATGTGAGGTCCTCCTCATCCGAAGCACTACTACCACATAAGCTCGTAAGCTTTCCCTTTATAAATGCTACAGAGGAGCAAACCATCAGAAAGCGGGAGGAAAAGAAGTCGCACTCTGATCAAGGTTCCAGCACAAAACAAATCGCACATCAGGTCTCACAAAGGCAGCAAGAAAATGCAAGCAAGATGGGTAACACAATGCTACAAACACATCATCAACAACACCATGGTAGTGGCAAATCAGGTCCTCGATATAGTGGGGAAGGAAGAGAGAAAACACAACAGATGCAAGGTCCTCAAGATAATGAAATCAATAACAGTAGTAGTCCTCAAGATCAAATACTGAATAATGAAGCTGCA